GTTCTATTCAGATTTGTTTATTGTTCTATTTTTGTAAATAATATATTTGAAGAAACCTTATTCAGTTGTCTGTGCTCACTTTGTCTTAAAACACTTTTTGTCACTTGTTTATTTAAAGTTGAACAGGGTGTGTAGTAGAGTTGGGCATAATTGTATCGTGTGCGATTAATCATCAGAAAAACATTAATTGATTATTTTTTGACACTTGACGATTAATACGATTAATGCCACCTGGCAGACTGATGGATATTTCCCCGGTCAGTCCCGTCGGTGCTCCTCTCCGCTTCAAATCTGACGAACATTTAAACAAAAGTTCTGTAATTTATTTATCAACACAATTTAAAATTTGATGTATAGCCTGAAGTCTGATTTTGACACAATTTGGAAAAGATTTTTACGAAGAGCAAATCTTTCTCACTAAATGGGTCATATGACCAGGACGTCCAGGGACTCCAGAGGATTAATCGTCAAAATAATCGGTGTCAGCTAAATACCACAATTAATCATGATTCATTATTTTGCCAATATCACCCAACCCTAGTGTAGTTATATTTTCTTTTATGTAATTTACATGTCCTGATGTGTCGGGTTAACTAAAACAAACTCTAAACCATATATTAAAACTAACAGTAAAATCCCACACACTGGTTAAACATCCTAATTGCCAGGAGGTATACCTGACTGGCACCCCAAATAAATTAATCAAAATAAATAGCAATAAAATCATTAAAACAGGAACCGTCACAACGTGGCCAATGCTTAACGGCAATATTTTTTAAATGCCTGTTAATTCAGTTTATTTCTTTATGTTTATCTCCGTTCACTGGTTATGAACACAGTTACACACAAACCTAGTTGTCCTGGTGGAGGGGTGAGATCTTGCTCGTGACTGGCTTTAGATGGGCATCGTCGCACGTCTCAGCCAATGAGAGCCTTTGTTGTCGAACTGTTGAGTGGCAACGCACTACCACTCATGATCCCAAACTGTTTTACCAACAGCTGGCTGTAAAGAACCTGAGATATGATTTCAATTTAAAAGTGCCGTAACAAACAGGATTCAGGGTTCTGCAGAGGCTGACCAATGGTTTTGAACATGCAGTTCACATTTTTTTTATAAAATACCTGAAAAATGCTCTAAATATCTTTTGAGTCATTACATTTTGGGAATAATGAAATTAATCAAGAAATTAAAGGAGTTTCATTCCAAAAGAAAGCATGATGGATGAAATGAAAGATGCTGAGGTCCAAGTTGTCAACTACAGGGAAAAAAACAACAAAACACTATCAATAAGAAGATTAAAAGAAAGAAATATAGAAAATGCCACAGTGTACTGCAACACACAGAGGTACACATTCAGAATAGTAAAGTGATTTAAAAGTAAATCAAAATGAATTGAGATTAATCTAAAAAAACTTTACGGCATATTACGGTATACTTCAATAGTGCTGGGCATGGATTAAAATCTGTAGTTTCAGATCACTTTTTCACATACAGGTGCTGGTCATAAAATTAGAATATCATGAAAAAGTAGATTTATTTCAGTAATTCCATTTAAAAAGTGAAACTTGTATATTATATTCATACATTACATACAAACTCATATATTTCAAATG